TTTTATTTCCAATCGTGGAGGGGTTCGTTGTTTAGGTGATTGGAATCGATGTGGGGTAACGACTTTTCCTTCGTGTCTGATAACCCTCCACGTGTTGACGTTTTCGGGCACCATATTACACCTAAACCCCTGAATATCCACGTTTTACTCAAGCATTTACTTTACCATTCTGATAGCCAGTGGAACTTCGAGGCTCAAATACTGATTCAAACTCTCTCTAGAAGCCAATCGAATAAACACAGCGAGACAAGCATTTTATAGTACTTTAAAAGCTATATGTTTACAGTGGTGTAGGGGAGAGAACAACCTTAATTAATCACTGGAATTTTTTAGGACTTACCTTAATTTTTTAGCACTTACCTTTACGTTTTCCAAGCTTGCGACGAGTCCACCATTTGCAACGATACTGTCGAGGATATTTTGCCATGTAGTGGCCATTTCGCACTAGAAAATAAAGGTTCAGTGCTCTTTAAACAAGTGAAACAATTCAAGAAGCGATGATTGTCATCTCAATTTCTAACAGTGTGTGCTACAAATTTGTATCAAAAGTACGATTTCCAAACGGAGTTTTGTTCAATACGAGATGTATTCGATTTTTCTTTCGCGTGTAGAAAGCGAAGAGTGTTAATCCGATGTTTCAAGACAAGAAGGCGGTGTGTAATAATAAGTACTGTTACCTGAAGACCCTACAAACTGTGTTATATGTACATTCAAAGATTCCTTTCACTCCTTGATAATGATTTTAGAAGCTGTTACCTGACGCTTTGATCCTGTTTGCTTAGTGAATTACGAACACAAGCCCGACCTGCGAAGATACAAGAACACCCAGTGTAACATAGATTGGAAAAATTTAGGAATAAATTCTAGGTTTACATGGATTAGAGGAATTTAGGAATAAATTTTAGAAATAAAAGGTTCTTGACAGTTGAAATGCAGCATGTTTTCATCAAGCAGGTGAAATAGCATCAGTGAGAAGGGTTAGCCGTGTACCCTTCCGCTAGATTTGCCTCGTTAATTACACGAGGCGGTCCTTGTAGCCCTTGTAGCCCTTGTTTATAAGTGGAACATCCGGTGCTTTCTGCGGGTTTAGACCAACTCAAATATGGTTTGATACTACCACTAAACGAGAAACTATACTATACTTGTTAGTTCACAATGTGCTATAACTTTGTCTTCATTTTGTCTTTCAGCGCGGCGTGCTGTTTGGAACCACGTGCAAGATTATTTTAAGTAGACGTCAATATGAAACGAAACTTAAGTCTTTACAGCATGGATAGTATCCTCGAATGGTAAAAATGGAACTTACCGTCCTGTTGTACCCTCAGAAGACTAGACTTCAACTTTCAGTGGTTTCTTCTTCACTGACAAAGCATTGCACCTCTGGTTTCTTGAGATTGGACTAAGCCAGCTGCGCGTGTTATCCTCGTCCCAGTGTCTTCTCTTGCGCGATCGGCCTTAAGATGGCGACTTGTATCAAATGCTTCATTATCTCAAGTTACATAGATTATGTCTTGTATGCGGCCTTTTTACTCCAAATCGTACCAGCTGATGTCAGTGCAGTTGCTCGTAGCATGTTAGAGTTCTTCAAATGCCTCCTTCTTGTGGTTCAAGCATGTATTTCGAAGAGAATTTGTGTATGATTGCACTTTTCTTCGTTTAGAGCAGCGTCTTTGTCCTCTTTATCCATTGTCACGGTCTTGTCGTTTCCGGGCACGGAGCAATCCGAACTTCTAAACAGAACGCCGGCAGTGTCATCAGTGTCATGAAAAGAACACATTGCACTTGTCGCTGTATAAGTACTTACAGTCACAAGACCTCGGTTGTTGCTTCCCTGGCCAGTTGAGAAAAATCAAACAATGCGGCAGCAAGCTTATTACTGCGTTATTTGTGCTGCTAGTCGGTATCAGTGCACTGTCAACACTCTTACCAAACGCTCTTGCCATACCGTATGCTGGTTAAATTTTCTGCGTACCTGGGAAATTCCCGCTATTATGACATCATACATAAATGAGCTTACTTTGTTCCTCATTTTCAACGCCATAATTCAGCTTTCGTTTACCGCAGCGAATTTAAACGTTGAAGTTTCAAGAGAGAGACAGTTGAAAACTGTTTTGATGAAAACGAAAGTGCATTCAATCAAGTCTGTATCTTAATGCGTCATAGGGCAATTTATTTGCCTGGGCCTGTACCTCGCACAGCTTCAACGCAATGAACCGTTCACTCTGAAACACTCTCTTTAAAGTCTGTTTGTTACTTTTAATAGAAGAAAGAATTGATGTCAATCAATGTCAATCATTTGTTTGAGCAAGCATTTCGCTGGTTGCTAAGGCGATGGCCTTTTGTTGAATTGCGTTTCTAGAAATAGGTTACAAACTTGATTTATTCATAATTTCCCTTTAATAAATTCTTGACACATTTTGAAACCGACCAAAGGAATTTATGTTTGCGAGTGAGCATCCAGGTACATCATCCACAATCCATATGGTTTAAACATCAGTTTGTTCTTCAGTTTATGATCATAAGCCTTTGGTCCCTCTCTGTCTTGTTATTCTACCTGTTAATCTTCAATAATGATTAACATTCAATTTCTCTTTAGAATATGTATGGACTGACAACGAGACGAACTATGAGAATAAATAGAATTATCAGCTTAAAGGCAAGTTTATGTGTATATCGGCAAGTGTTCAGGATAAGCATGACGAAATGTTTAAATATAAGCGAATCCGTCACTGGACTTAGACGAGGCACACTAAACTGTTTAATTAGTGAGTTTGGAATTTATGTGCATTGTAAGAGAAGCTGGAGTTGAGCAGTTGTTGTTCAACGAAGCGTTAAACGCTTCGAGCTTGAGCAAGCTCGCAGTTCATTAGAGTCGCTTCGTGCAAGCTAAATAGGTAATCTTATTAAGTAATCTGAATTAAAAGATGGAGGAGAACGAAACGGGAGAGCAAATGTGGAGGCAGAGTAGTTAGTCCATGACCCACCCGATCACGTGGACTGAACAAAATGAAAGCAAACCTCGTTTTCTGCATGAAATAAAATTGATACATATCTGGGGGACAAGCCCACCTCCCCCCTTTTCTCCATTCCCCAAATGCTACATTATAGTCTCCATCCCTGATTATGGCCCCAGCTTTCAGCCCATTTCACAGAAAGTTTGCTGATCTGTGATCTAAGCAAGCAGACAAAAAAACTTTTCAGTCCTCTGCTGATAATCCTGAAATTTAACACATTTCTGCCCTCAGTGTAAACGGAATGTCTCGGATAACCGGACAAACACCAAAAGTAAACGGCGACTACCAAATTAAGTGATAGTGAATGTGCTCCTGAATCAGGATCCGCTTTATTATTTAGCTCTTATTAACCGAGCTAAGTCGGTCTGTATGGGAGAATCTTGACCGAGGTCGTGAGTACAGACCGAACGCAGTGAGGTCTGTACACA